AGGCATGTGGGATTGAGATATGGAGGTGATTTTGGAAACGTGTACTATAACTGTACAAAATAGTACTAAATTTGTTATTGGATGAGACAATAGAGCTGAAATCACAAAAATTGATATGGATGTCACTGTTGGTGTCTGTGGTTGAGAGTAGGATGTGGTTTTAGAAATGCGTACTATGAACGTACAAAAAGTACTAAATTTGGTACTAGGTGAGAGAATAGAGCTCAAATCCCGAAATTTTATAAATGCTGCTAAATTTGGAAATGGGGGAAATTAAAGAGCTAAATTCCAAAATTTGATATTGAGAGAACTGTTGGTAGCTGAGGTTGAGATTTGTAGATTTTTTTTTTGAAAATGTTTACCATTATTGTACAAAAAGTACTAAATAGTACTAAATTTGTTATTGTGTGCGAGAATTGAGCTGAAATCCCAAAATTTGATATGAGTGTCACTGTTGGTGTCTGTGGTTGAGAGAACGATCTGATTTTGGATATCCGTACTATAATTGTACTAAGTGGTACTAAATGTGGTAATGGGGAAAATTAAAGATGGTAATAAATTTGGGATTGAGTCTTAGTATAGAGCCGGAATTCTGAAATTTGATATGGAGGCCCCTTTCTTTTGACAGGGGAAATTAACAAAAATAAAAAAAAGCCGGGCCGAACTTTGAATACCATCCACCATTTGGAACAAATTTGGAAATTTTCAAAAAATAAAATCCTCAAAAAATTCTATTAAAATTTTAAAAATACCGAATATAGCCATTATATTTGTGTCTATACAACGTGGACCTAAATAGGCATTCTTTGTCATAAGTTATTACCATATTTAAATTCGAAACTTGAAATAAACGGTGAAGCTAAAATCACCAAAATATGGTATATAGGGAGGTACCGATATATCGGAGCTGTGCGAAGACCTGGACCAGCATAGGCAATTTTCTGTCACAGGCTGTAGCATCCAATACGAACCTCAAATACGACAACTCAATCAATTTCGGTGGATATTGTATCAAAATCATCAAAATACCGAATATGGGGAGGTACTGATGTAAGGGGTCTATACGAAGACCTGGATCTGTATAGACAATTTTCTGTCACTGACTATAGTTCCCATTACGAACTCTAAATACGTAATTTGAAACAATTCTGGTGAATAATGACGCTAAAATCATCAAAATACCGAATATCGGGAGGTACCGTTATATGGGGGCTATGCGAAGACGTGGACCTGCACAGACAATTCTCTGTCTTAGGCTGTAGTATCCATTACAAACGTAAAATACCAAATTTGAAATAATTCCGGTGAAAAATGTCCCTAAAATCATTAAAATACCGAATATCGGGAGGTACCATTATATGGAGGCTTTACGAAGAGGTGGACCTGCGCAGACAATTTTCTGTCTTAGGCTTACAAATTTGGAAAATATGTCATCAAAATTCCGCTCTCCATCCACAACCCTAACATAACCTTTCTTTCCTACCTCGTAAGTACCTCCAAAATATTCACTTGTAAGTACGTGTCCAAACATATTTTCATACTCCGATCATTATGTTCAAATGATCTCGATAAGAGAGAAGGCCTATCAGCATAACAACATACAGACAAACAAGCTACCTGGCGATGACTGACAGCCATTGTCTTTGCCAGTCAAAATTTCAATCGTGTAAATATTTACTCTTTACAGGTTGGTCGGTAGGTAGGTAGGTAGTGGGTCTGATACCAACATCAATGGCATGGCGTTGCGATATGGTGCGTCGTCAATATGATTTTGGTATGAGTGATTATAATTTGACAGGTGTTTCATTCCAAGTGACTGTTGTTGTTGTTGGCGAGCGGCATCATTGTTATTGTTGTTGCTGTTGTTACCAATGCAGTTGCAATTTTAGTGGCTGCATTGGTCAGAGTTATTAGTGTTGCCTAATACCACTTCTCGTGTTTTTTTTTTTTTTTTTTTTTTTTTTCTTTCATTATTTTTTGTGGGTTTCTTTGGTGGACTCAATTTTTTTTATTGTTTCACTTTTTGTTTTGTTTTGAGTGTTTTGACAACAAAAGCAGCAGCTACAAAAAAAAACTAATTTTCCTCATTTTTTTTTTTGTTGTTGTAGAGTAAAACACTTCGATAATATCTAATAACAGCGGTCAGTGGTGGTTAAGCAAATTATTTGGTTAAATCTGTGGCGGCTGCTAAATTGTAGGCCAAGCAACATCTCAAAATGCGCTGATGCAGTAGCTGCATCCACGTCATTATTACACAATAACCACTTACTTTCCGTTAAATAAAAATTAATTATTTTTTTTCAAATTGATTGTTTTCATAATATTTATTGGTTTTTTGACAGCGACCAACAATTGTCCATCGAGGAATTAATCAATTATTTTTGGGTTTCACATGGAGAAGTAATGCAATCGAATTCGAATATTAAGCTGAGCTATTTCAAGGTTTTATTGCATTGGAAAATTATTTATAAAGGTACGAAGTGAATTTGACTGGTGGACCTTTATACACATTTTTATACCCTACACCACATAGTGGTAAGGGTATTATGTCTTTGTGCATTTGTTTGTAACATGGAGAAGGAAACGAGATAGACCCATACTTACTTTTGAGAACCTTCATAGAATCACTTTCTGAGTCGATTTATGCATGTCAGTCCGTCCGTCCGTCCGTCTGTCCATGTATTCTTGTGAACAAAATGCAGGTCGCATTTATTATCCGATTGAGATGAAATTTTCCAAACAATTGGTGAAATTGGTGAGAATCGAATCAAATTTAGATATAGCTCCCATATATATCTTCATCCGATTTCGGGTTAAATGTGCACCAAATGTCCACTATCAGTCCAAATTACCTGAATTTTGGCACACCCAACCGAGTTCGGCCTAGAAGCAAGTATATTAAATTTGGAGAAAATCGGTTCAGATATAGCTATAGCTCCCATATATATCTTTCATCCGATTTGATCTTTAAGTCCCTCACATTCCTACTATGCACTCCACAACCGTGATATTTGGTACCAGGTATTAGATGGAGCACAGAAATAGCTGTTTTAAATTTTATCGAAATCGGTTCAGATTTGAATATAGCTCCCATATATATCTTCATCCGATTTCGGGTTAATTGACCACCAAATGGTCAATATCAGCCCAAATGGCCCGAATTTTGGCACATGTGACCGAGATTAGCCTTAAAGCAAATACAACAAATTTGGAGAAAATCGTTTCAGAAACTGCTATAGCTCCCATATCCATATCCATATCCGATTTGGTGTTTAAGCCTCTCACATTCGTAATATGCACTCCACAAGAATGATATTTGGTACCAGATATAAGATACAGCCCAGAAATAGCTGTTTGTAATTTTATCGAAATCGGTTCAGATTTGGATATAGCTCCCATATATATCTTCATCCGATTTCGGGTTAATTGTGCACCAAATGGCCGATATAAGTCCAAATGGACTGAATTTTAGTACATCGGACCAAATTCAGCCTAGAAGCAAGTATGTCAAATTTAGTGAAAATCGGTTCAGATATAGATATAGCAAACATATATATGTTTCATCCGATTTAGTGTTTTAGTCCCTTACATTCGTAATATTCACTCCACAACCGTGATATTTGGTACCAGGTATTAGATGGAGCACAGGAATAGCTGTTTTAAATTTTATCGAAATCGGTTCAGATTTGGATATAGCTCCTATATATATCTTCATCCGATTTCGGGTTAAATGTGCACTAAATGGTCAATATCAGCCCAAATCACCTAAATTTTCGTACATAAGACCGATTTCAGTCTAGAAGCTAATACGTCAAATTTGGAGAAACCCGGTTCAGAGATAGCTATAGTTCGTAAAATGCACGATAGAATTAGATAGATTTTGATTTTGTACCAAATATCTCATAGAGCTATGAAATGCCCTGTATAAACCCTTTTACGAGAGCTCTACTTAATATGCATAGTGGTGTAGGGTATCATATAATCGGCCCCGCCCGACTTTTGAGCTTTCCTTACTGGTTTTACCATAAGAAAACCTTAATGAAGGGCTAATCGTCTGATTTCTAAAATTACATTCCAAAACCTGTAAAAATATTTGCGAAACAATAACAGCATGGAGTAAAACATGTGACCTGTACCATTTAAACCTCAATAATTATATGAGAGCACTTTCCAAAACCAACTTTTACTTTTTTATGGGATGTAGTTCCCCCATAAACATAGATTTCATAGATTTAGTACTTTTCGTATTTTTACTACTTAGCACTTTAGAGCTCCATAAAAAGAGCTCCATATCTCCATTTTAGATACCAGCAGAAACCTCAATATCAAATTTCGGGATTTCAGCTCTTTAATTAATACGGTTACAGTACGCACATCTAAAACCGTCTACGTCTCTCAGCCACAGACATCAACATTGATATCTATATAAAATTTCAGGATTCCAGCTCGATTCCTTCGACTAATACACAATTTAGTACCACTAAGTACTTTTCGGACTAAGTACAAAACCTCCTCCTTATCTCAATCGCAGGTACCAACAGAGACCTCAATATCAAAATAGGGTATTCGAACTCTATCCCTTCACCCAATACCCAATTTAGTACCACTTAGTACATTTCGTACAAACATTTCCAAACAACTTCCATATCTCATATCCAAACAACTTCAATGTCAAAATTCGGAATTCCACCTCTTATCCCTTCTTTTCGTACAATTATAGTTAATTTTCAAAACCCCCTCCATACCTAAATCCCAGATACCAACAGAGACCTCAATATCAAAATTCGGGATACCAGCCCTATCCTTTCGCCCAATAGCCAATTTTGTACCACTTAGTACTTTTTGTACATATTTATAAAACCATCTCCATATCTCAATCCCAGATACCAACAGAGACATCAATAATCAATTCGGGATTCCAGCTCTATCCCTTCACTCAATACCCACTTAAGTAACACTTAGAACTTTTCGTACATTTATGGTACACATTTTGAAATCCACACACCATTCTGTCACTTCAAAATTTTTGAAATAAACATCAAAATTCATTCCCAAACAAAAAAAAATCCAAAAAATAATAACACCTTCAAGAAATGTATATCTCTCGCAAAATTCATCGCTTCATTCTAAGGAATTACCCACGAATTGCATTTGGATGCATTTGTTCCCTACTCTTCTTTGGATATCTACATTTCGAATTGTTGAACAGCAATCGGGACTTAATTTATTGGACAAATATCATCAAAACAAACATCGCACGATTGGATGAATATGGTATTCTCCTGATTGTTTTGATCATTGGCTTCAAAATGTTCACAATTTCGTTTGTCGTTTGGCTCAACTCGCCAACAATGAATTTGTATAACCGTCTCTCTCAATTGGAAGTCAAGAAACGTTATGCCGACTTTCTTCTTCTACGTCTGTTGTCAGAAATCGAGGGAATCGAAATGGAATATTTGAGATCGAAAAGCACCAACGAGTTGTTGGATCTAAAATCGCTAATAATGGCCCATGACGAAATGACCCGAAGTGTACAGAAATTTCGCCGAGATGCTCGGAAATTATTGTGGCCCAATGAAACTGAGATTACCCTTTCCATTGAGGATGTTTATGGTCTGATGGCGGATGAGGAGGATTGTCTAAAGAAATCCAAATTTTATCGTATGGATATCCATGCAAGTGATGATTTGATAAGGAAGTTAATAAATCCAACATAAGAAGAAAAAAGTTGCTTGATATTTTAAGAGGACATCAGTACATGAACATTTTATTGCAGGATCACTAAATCTTGCAGACTAAATTTATAACAAAAAAAAAACTCATTTTGCCTAACATTTTCAATTTATGTCAATATCTAACCAAGTGATGTAGCCAGAAATGAACCATTTCGCGTGGCGCCCAAGAGACAGAATATTAATTTGACATATAAGATATTAAAAAGAGTTTTGAAACAAGTAAAAAAGCTGTATGCTGTAGACCGGACCGAACTTTGAATACCCTCCACCATTTGGAACTAATTTGGCAATTCTCAAAAACAATAAAATCAGTTAAAAATGCTATTAAAATCTTAAAAATACCGAATGTAGCTGTTATATTACGAACTTCAAATACCAAATTTGCAACAATTGCGGTGAATATATTTGCTAAAATCTTCAAAATACCGAATATCGGGAGGAAAATGAAGGGGGATAGGGTCCGAATAGAAGCCTATTATTTTTGGAGACAATCGCAAAATGGACCAAAAATAAAAAAAATCCTGATTTTGCTGTTGCTCTACAGGCCACAATTATAAACCAATCGTCTAGAGATTTTGCACGGAGTTAGGGCTGGGCAGAATCCTACCAGTTTGGACGGTCATCGGACAATATTGAGCGGGTAAAATAAAGTATAATTTTTATGTCAAAAAATTCGAAAATTTCATCTAAAAACAGCGAAAAATTTTAATCCCAGACAAAAGAGTCACTTCTGACCATTACAGTGACGTTGATAGCCAAGATATAGGATATATAACCAAATAGGTACAGTATATATATAAAAGAAATAGATCTTATTGTTGCAAAATGGTCAGGCTTAATCCCATTATTGTTGTTCTTTATAAAAACAATGTTTTTTTTTATTAGTGGAGAACGATGGTAATGTTTACCAGGGGGTAAGGCAGGGAATAGTTCCCAGACAAAAAACAAGGGAACGGGTTAGGATTGGTGGCTCTTTCTGAAACCTAGGTATTCCCTGCCTTACACCCTGGTAAACATTACCATCGTTCTACACTAATGAACAAACAATTTTCGATGAAATGGTTTTGAATATCTAACAACACGACGGATTGAACAAATGCCCCCGCTCATAAAGCTAAGGGTAACATTTGGGCAGGGCTAAATGAGATTATTTCAAAAACGAAATATTCCAAAATGGATTTTGACATAAGTTGGCTTGCAGCATATTGTAGTGTTGTAGATTATCACATGGTCGGCCCCGCACAGCTATAGCCTTTGTTTACTTGTTTAAAGAGTATTTTTAAAGAGCCATCGAGACGTGGTTTTTTTAAAGATTTTTTTTTTGAAGAGCCTTTGAGACATTGATTTTTTAAAGAATATTTTTTGAAGAACCTTCGAGGCGTGGATTTTTTAAAAAAATCTTTTTGAAGAACCTTCGAGGCGTGGATTTTTTAAAAAAAATCTTTTTGAAGAACCTTCGAGGCGTGGATTTTAAAAAAAAAATCTTTTTGAAGAACGTTCGAGGTGTAGATTTAAAAAAAATCTTTTTGAAGAACCTTCGAGGTGTGGATTTTTTTAAAAAAAATATTTTTGAAGAACCTTCGAGGTGTGGATTTTTTTAAAAAAATATTTTTGAAGAACCTTCGAGGCGTGGATTTTTAAAAAAAAATATTTTTGAAGAACCTTCGAGGCGTGGATTTTTAAAAAAAAATCTTTTTGAAGAACGTTCGAGGTGTGGATTTTAAAAAAAAATCTTTTTGAAGAACCTTCGAGGTGTGGATTTTTTTAAAAAAAATATTTTTGAAGAACCTTCGAGGTGTGGATTTTTTTAAAAAAATATTTTTGAAGAACCTTCGAGGCGTGGATTTTAAAAAAAAAATATTTTTGAAGAACCTTCGAGGCGTGGATTTTTAAAAAAAATATTTTTGAAGAACCTTCGAGGCGTGGATTTTTAAAAAAAATCTTTTTGAAGAACCTTCGAGACGTGGATTTTTAAAAAAAAATCTTTTTGAAGAACCTTCGAGGCGTGGATTTTAAAAAAAAAAAATCTTTTTGAAGAACGTTCGAGGCGTGGATTTTTAAAAAAAATCTTTTTGAAGAACCTTCGAGGTGTGGATTTTTTAAAAAAAATATTTTTGAAGAACCTTCGAGGCGTGGATTTAAAAAAAATCTTTTTGAAGAACCTTCGAGGCGTGGAATTTAAAAAAAATCTTTTTGAAGAACCTTCGAGGTGTGGATTTTTTAAAAAAAATATTTTTGAAGAACCTTCGAGGCGTGGATTTAAAAAAAAATCTTTTTGAAGAACCTTCGAGGCGTGGAATTTTAAAAAAAATCTTTTTGAAGAGCATTCGAGCATTTTTCAAAATCTTGAACCCTATGTGGGGAGGTACCAGATGAAATAGTCCGATCTCTACTATCTTTATAAGAGATCTGGTGTTGATGGAAATATTCAAAATGTTGACCCTTTCTGTAGAAAGTATCAGGAGTGAACCGATATGTTTCATCTACATAGCAGATCTTGTGTAAGTAGAAACAATGGGATGTGTGAAATATGAAGAGAACCGAATGCTTATTTCGGATTTTATAATCATTTTGGTTATTCAAAATTTAAACCCTTTGTAGGGGAGGTACAAGAAGAAGTTGTCCGATCTCCACCATCTTCATAAGAGATCTTGTGTTTATGGAAAAATTGAGGTGTACCAAGTCTTAATGGAATCGGATGTTAATTTCGCTCTTTATGAGTTTCATTTTCTCGAAGTTGTATCATGTAATCTACAGCAATGTTATTGATATGCGTAAATTTCAAAAACGATTTAGCCATGTCCGTCCGTCCGTCTGTTATAATCACGCTACAGTAAAAACAAATAAAGATAGGAAGCTAACATTTTGCACAGTTCTGTCTTTTTTCTGCAGGCAGGTCAGGTTCGAAGATGGACTAAATAGGTCTATGATATCGTATAGCCCCTATATAACGGTACTCCCGATGTTCGGTATTTTGAACATTTTACCCACATTTTTCAAAGGAATTGTCTGAAAATCCACACAAGGAGTTCCTTGTGGGTATTTTACCCCCTGCAAGATAATTGTCTGTAAAGGTCCACCATATCATATAGCCCCCATATAACGGTACCCCCGATATTCTGTATTTTGATGATATTAACCACATTTCTCAATGGAATAGTCTGAAATTCCCCACAAGAAGTTCATTGTGAGTACTTTACACCCTGACGTAGATTTGTCTGTATAGGTCCACAATATTGTATATCACCCCAATATATCGGCACCTTACGATATTCGGTATTTTTAAGATTTGAACAGAATTTTTAATGGATTTCATTTTTTTGAAAATTTCCTAATCTTTAGAAAATTTCCTTACTGCTTTTTCACTTGTTAATTAGATATATGTCACTACACATTTCTTTCGCTTTCATTCATATTAGTCCCAAACACGTTTTTTGAATGACTCCCATGTTCTGCTCCATGAAAGTAGGCAATGGGGGAAAATCATCATTTATCAAAATTATTTATTAAATATCTTTTATAAAGGGGGAGGAGGAAAGACGCAAAAGTGTGTCAAAAATCTATGTAATTATGACACTGCCGGAGGGAGGCACACCAACACACATATGCGTCTATGTGTGTACTTTAAAAACATCTGCCTTGGAAAGGAAATAAAAAAATGCAAAAAAATGACACACTTACAAAAACAACAAAACGCATTTTAATGTCTACCACGCACAAAATGTCAAATGTCACATCAGTTAAAAAAAGACAACAATTTGACAAATTGTTCGGCAGTTTGACACAAATAGCTATTCGCCAGCAATGGGGAGTCAAGAAGCCCATGCAAAGATACAAATATCCACTTGAGTTATGTAGACATTTACACCGCCATAAATGGTATGAAAACAACTCAAACTTTGATAGACATTTTAGCGAAAAAAATGATTGATTTACAAGCCAAGCTCGAACGCACGCGAAATATTTTGCATGACAGCCAAATGGTGGCGGAACATGTGTATTCATGTTCATCAGAAAGAGAAGAAAAAAATTCGAAAAAAAAGAATGATGAAAATGTTAACCTAAATGCGGCACAATTCTTGCGTTTGTTATTTCGTTAATGATTAATGTTATGTACATCAATGTTTGATGGAGATTTTTATTTGAGTGTAGGTAGGTTGTAATACCATCATCATCATGACATGATAAAATATTATTGTTGTTATTTTTATTGCTTCTCTTCGCTTTGTTTGATTCTAATGTTTGGTTACAAACAAACTAGACTTTCTCAAAACCAGATCACACGAGTGTTCCAGATATGTTCTGGGCAATAATAAATGTGGGAAATATCGAGAGTTCATTGTGAGTTTTAAAATGAAAAGAAGCTAGACGCAGAGGCGTCAAATATTTTGAAGTTTTGAAATTCTTATTTGCAATCGGAAACAAGGGCCGGGGGAGAGATTCTGTAGCATAAAAAGTCAGGTGTGAGTAAAACAACCATAAAAACAATAACACTCAATAAAATAAAATCCGTTAAAAATTATTTTAAAATCTTAAAAATACCGAATGTAGCCGTATATTAGGGTCTATACGACGACGTGGACCGAACTTTGAATACCCTCCACCAATTTGGTACAAATTTTGCAATTTTCAAAGAAATAAAATCCGTTAAAAATTCTGTTATAATCTTAAAAATACCGAATTTAGCCGTATATTAGGGTCTATACGACGACGTGGACCTGCATAGGCAACTTTTGTCACAAGCTATTACAAATTCAAATGCGAAACTTAAAAAATCTATTCATAATGTAGGTAAAATCATCAAAATACCGAATATAGGGAGGTACAATGGAGGTTATAAAACGTGGACCTGCACAGACAATTTTCTGGCATAGGCTTAAGTATCCATTACGAACTTCAAACACCTAATTTGAAACAATTCCGGTGAATAATGTCGCTTGAAAAGAACCTAAGAGAAGAACTTCAAAACATGTTCTACAAATTGAAGTCTCT